CCTCTCCTCTCGAGGCATCTCCCCTCCCTCCTCCCCCTGCCCTCGCCTACAGCTGTCACTCACGGGCTCGCCCTGAGCCAATCGGGTGGGCGGCTTGCTAAGCAGCGCCTAAGTCCCCGCCCCTCGCCTTCGCCCCCCCCCGACGGTGGGGTTGGGAAAAAAGGGGGGCCCGGGGGGGGGATGGCTTAGCGGAGCTCCTCTTGGACGGGCGTCCTTTCGCCCTCGGGTCGTGAGAAGCCTCCGTGGTTTGGGGGTTTGTTTGTTGAACGGCACGGGTTCCTTTCAGACGGGACGTTTTTTGGACTCCAGCGCCCAGCATCCCCAGCCAACAGGACTACAGATCCCATCCCCGTGGTCCTTCGGGGATCTGTGGTCTATCTAACACAGGAACGTTCTCAAAGCTCCGCTCCCTTCCCACAAAGCCCCTTCCGACGTTGCAGGCAGACTCAAGTTAGAATCCTTTTTTTTTAAAACTTTGGCGACTCAAGATCCCAGAATCCCCAAACGCTGGGGGATTTTAGGAATCGGCGCTCGAGGCATTTTGCTTGAGCTGGCCTTCGTGCAGTCGGATTCACAAGTGCGTGCGTGTTTGGGGGGGGGAGGAGTTTAACCGGAGAGAAGGTCCTGCTGGTTTCCGAGACCAAGATTGTCATTGCTGCTGAAAAAGCAGGACCCCCCCACCAAAAAAAAAAAAAAAAAAACTGAAAGAGTTAACTTCTGGACTACAGTTTCCAAAATTCCTGAGTGGGGGATTCTGGTAATTAATCTTAAAAAACTAATTTTCCAGCCTCTCTAAATCCTCCCACATCAGCTAGGGAGCTTTTATAAACAGGTGGAAACTGCAGTCCGAAGCAAATCCTTTCAGCGTCAGTACTTTGAAAAGTTACTTTTCGGGTTACAGTTCCAGAATCTCCTTAGCATCTTTCAAAAGGTCGCTATCCGAGTCTCTCAGGGAGTCTGTTCCGTTCCCCTGCTGAATAAATGAATGTGCAATAATTACCTTTCGGTAATTTATATATATATAACTTTTTGAGCCACTAACTATAGAGATATAGAGGGGGATGTGTGTGTAGTTGCAAGAAGGGTGGGAAATAATTAAATAAAAAGCAAGAAAATCAGCGAAAGTATTCACTTTGTTTAGGAAATGTTTTAGTTTTAAGACACACTAACACAGCCAACCCAAATACCTCGTGGAAAAAATATTTACATGGTTATCAAGTTGCATTGCATTTTAAGAAATGCAGGGCACTTTGACCTCCTCCAGAATCACATCCTCCTTCCCTTACACACACGAATCAGGAGAAAGAAAGAAGCAGGGGGGAGGGGAGGGAATAGGACTAAAGGAAGGCTGATGGGTTGGGTTGATTGTCTTGCCCTACAGCCCCAAAAGCCTTGGTTTTAATTCCCAGTATTTTTGCCTTGGCTTTCTCCATAAATCCACATTCTCGACAGGTGAGTTTTGCAAAGAGAACAACTGCAGTCACAAGCAGACCTCTTAAGGATTTTGGAAACGCATCGCTTTCTGGACTACAATGCCCATAATCTTCCAGCCAGCAGGGCCACTGGGAAATTCTGGAAGTTGTATTTCAAAACAAGTAACCGTTCTGGCCTCTGTGAAGAATTCATGGATGCTCCCACCTGTCTTGATGCACACAAAAGTTTGCACATTGAGTCTCATTAGATTCCATTGAAACACAAAGGGCTCTTCCTGTTGTCTCTGCTCACCTGTCAGGTAGGTGTGCATCACTGGAGGGTTTTTTTTTCCAGACTTCTTGGAGTAATCTGTGCCAAAGATTATGGAGCAAAAAGAAAAAAAGAAAAGACTAGATAAAGACAGCAAACTGGAGGAAGTAAGTACTTGGGCTTAATTCGAGGTCAACTTGAGCCTTCCTTTCACCATCAGAGTGCAGTCCTGGAACATGTAAAGCAGGAGTAAGCCATTTATGGTCTTCTATCACCCCTGGCCCTTATAGGATGCTGAGAGTTACAGCTTCACAACAGGCAAGGCAAACGGGCAGGCCATGAACACATTTCAAAAGGTGTATTACCTAGTGTTCCGAAATAGCTTGTAAGCTGCAGATCCATTTTATGTGCTGTAAATGTACATCAACAGGGTTTCAGCCAGAGGCTAAAATCCTGCTCTACAGATACGCAAATGGCGTAATTTTAGACCTGAATTGTGTAAGTTAAGATGTTTCCTTAGACACTCTCTGTTGCTCCCTGAGTCACATGACCCACTATGCAACAGATGAGGTCTACAAAGGGTTCTTAACCGATGGCCATTTGCACCTAAAAGTTACACCTTTTGCGTAATGGCACAACAGGATTTCAGCCCTTGTCGTTGCCTCTGCATAAACCCGAACACTCCTACATCTCCCAGCCGCCGGGCCGGCCTTTCCATTAGGTAAAGTGAGGCAGTTGGCAAGTGCTGGTGTAGAGAATCCTAGAGGGGGTGTCAGGAGATTCAAATTTAACATTACACGCAGTCTCCTCCCCAGGAGAATGGCGTTTTCACAGGAGGACTCGTACAGATTAAATGGTGTCCCTTCTTTCTCCGCCAACCAAGGTGTCAGATATACCGACGAAGCGAACAAAGAGCTTTCTCGAGGGAGTGCAGAAAGTATGACAGCTGGTGGGATGTTGTAGACCAGTCTCCGCAGACAGAAACAGAACTGTCTTGACACCACACAATTATTCTCTATTATGGGTCGCTCTTTACAAAATGAATCTGTCACCAGTGTCAGTTGAGGGCTCTTTTTTAAATTCAGCATCTGCAGGAAATTTATTCTCGGGAATGTGTTGTTTGTCTGCTTGCTTTGAGGGGAGAGGCACTGGAGGCTCTCCCTGTTCCCTCCCCCCCAAACCTAACCTCTGTGAGGTCCTGAAACTCAGCCAGGCTATGAACTGCGAGGAAGGGAGCCTTTGCCGGCTTGCTGGTCCTGCTGGGAGGTCTACCTACCCTTTCCACGCTGAACTTCGGCTCTGCTCCCACTTTGCAGCCCTGATAGAGAATGCAGATGGGAAAGTTGGCTTCGCCCGGCGCGCCGCTGTGAGGATGGGCTGCAGCTGCGAGAGCGCACAGGCTGTGGCCCTTGTGTTGAAATCGGAGGCTCATCAGAGGAAAACAGATCCCAAACAAGGCTGCGGGAAGGGCTCGCCCATCTCAATCGGACCTCATGTCAGGGCTTGATCATGGGCCCAGAAAAGATCCTATGTTGGACTTGTTTACACCAAGGTAATCTGGAGAACTTGAAGCTTATTGTGCTCAGTGGGTCCCTGCATTCAACATTCTGCACCAACATGTTGAGGGGCATGGAGTACTCAGACCTAGATGGAAAGTTGCTGGTTCTTCTCTGAACTCACACGGGACGGTGCCACTATGAATGCCCCATTTTCTTAGGTTCAGAAGAAGATCAGAGTTTAGAAACAGAAGCAGAAAGCTCATGAACACACACAAAAAAACCCAAGTATTGGCTTACAAAACCCTCTGTTTTTCCAGAGCTGCCCCCCCAGTCCAACTAGGAACGGTCAGAGTCCTTCTCCCGCTAGAAGAAACAAAATCTGCTGTGCCGTTCTTCCACTAAGACGGGGGGGAGGCATTATTACGCGAAATATTACCATTAATTTGAAACAGATGAATCCGAGGCCTCCAACCCGGTAGAGCTTGAATCAAGGAGTGACCTGACCTTACCTAACGTCCTGCTGAAATTCACCAGAACACATTGTAACTTCTGTAATGGGTTATTTATTGCAAAGCCATAAATAATATTTGCTATAGATTTCCCCTGCCAATCTAGGAAATGAATTAGATTTGGGGTAAAAGGTGGAGGGAATTACCCAAATGTCCAGCAGATGTGTCTGGATAAGCCAAGAAGCTTCTCCGTGATTGTCCATCTAGATGTTACTCCCGTCTGCGCAAACGGTTTTAATCTTTGCGGGGTGGGGGAGAGAAGATTTCTTTTTCCGCAGTCTTTCTCCTCAGCTGATATGTGGACTAGAAACTGTCCCCTCACACCATTTACACTTTCCAGTGTTAATAGAAAGAATGAGGTGCTTGATTTTCAGAAAAATGTGAAAGCGTTTATTAAATTTTAGCATCTTTGCCTCGATTGAAGCAGTCTTACTTAGTGGGCTTGACGGCACTTCATTTCCAAAGAGAACCCTGTGGGAGTCTGCAGCTCAAGATGGGAGAAATTCCTTGATTTGCTCTGGAAATAATCTAGAATAACCACATTCATTTCCTGGATGTCTGCAGCCTGCCCGAGCAATTAAGCTGAATTTCAGCTTGAGTCTAGAGAGTCTTCCAGAAGGGACTTTCCTCAGGAACAGAACGTTGTAGGAATTCTCATGAGCAGAAATGGGGACAAGTTGCCACAAGCATGCTGGCTGGGGCAGGAAAGACAAAAAAAGGAACTTTTCCCACTTTGTTCATGACGTCAGCTTCCGTCCATTCCTCTCCCACAATCATTGCTTGCCATGAGCTAGAAACAGGCCACCTGTTGTAACCTTCTGTCTGCGAAATGATCAGAGCAGCAATGAACCATTGTGGCCG